CCACAAACTGTACAACTAAACTCAAAGTTATTTCTCACAGTTTAGGAGTCTGGGAAGTCTAGGATCAAGGTGCCAGCAAGACAGTCTGGAGAGGAGTCTTCCTCATAAAACATACCCTCAAGTGTATCTTCAAGTGACTGAAAGGGCTAGTCTTTTTGGAATCTTTTACAGAAGCACTAATTCCATTTGTCTAGGCATGACCTCATGACCTAATAACTTCCCAAACAGTATTGCATGGTAGGTTCACACATGAGCTGCAGGGAGTCGTCCAGAGTCTGGGATGAGCCATCAGAGCAGGACTTCACTACCTTAGCACTAGGGTTTGGGCTCCAGAGTCTTGCTGGGGATGTGAGCTGTCTGGACTTCAGCAGCCGATGGTTCCTGACCACTAGGATGCCAATAACAAGCCTGTGTGCCTCAGCTGCCAGAGCACCCAGAATGTAGGACGTTGTCAAAATTGCTTATGCTTGAGAAGCTATTTGAACAAATTGAATTTCCCATATTACATTTCCAAATCTGAACCATAACTCCTAGAGTCGACAGACCATTTGGATATTTTCACTAGTTTTTTTTTTTCTATGCAAAAATAAAACCTGACAATTGCAATTCACTGTGGCTTATATTTCAGTAAGTCAAAAGGAAGAGTGTTCTATGAAGTTTGTTGGCTTACAAATATCTTAACAGTGATTGAAATATAAGAGATGAGGGATATATACAAACTAAGATAGCTAACAGCAATTTACATTAAGCTAGATTTTATTAGTGTTCCCTCATGTTGCACACAGTGGCAGTGTATGAAATCCCACGGACCCAGGCAGTCTTGCTCCTACAGATGACTGCAGCCACTGTGTCTGTACTGTAGGGCTGGCTAAATTCACTTCATACAGCTTTCTTCAGCAGACACTCCATAGTCTGTCAGCTCTTGCTTGCTGGGGTTCTCCACTGTAGGTTCAGCTTCACCGGCATGTTTCCAACAGCTTGCCAGCTTGAGAGCTGATCACTCTGAAATCTTTGTGGAAATCCCCACGACTCCCTAACTCTTGTCTGTAAAATCGGCATGATGTCGATGGCCCTCAGGTTTGCACAGGCTATACAGGGCCCGCCTGGGCCGCATCTGCAGCTGCCTCTGAGCATCTGCACATGAGGAAGGAGTTTCAGGGCAACGTTTTCTAGACTGCCTTATGGAAGGAGGCTGTCCTGGGTCCATTTTGGAAAAATGTCTGAGTTCTTTGAACTTACGACAGGCAGGTGTCTGAATATTTCTTGAGGGGCCTTCACAGTATTTTATTATCCTGCTGACAAGTACTTGAGTTCACTTTTAAAATATATTTTACTCACTGAAAGTTTCATATTTTGATCATACTCATCTCCTCTTACCTCTTCCCGGCTCCACCCTTCCTTCTCGACTCAACTTTGTGCCCATTTAAAATGATAATAAAAAAATTATACTTATCAAGACCAATTTGTGTTCCCCAAGCATTCTTGGGTATATGGCCTCCCACTGGAATGGTGCGAACCTAACTCTTTTTCCTGTGTCTAGCAACTGCCAACAGTAGCTCAGCTAGGAGTGGGACTTCACACCCAACTTTGCTCTTTGTGATGAGATTTTATCTGATCATATCAAATATCCTGGCCTTGCACAGGTCTTGTGAATGTTATCACAATCACCATGAGCTCATACATGTAGCTGCCCTTCAGAGAACACGTTCCTTGTAGTCATCCACCATCTCTGGCTCTTACGCTCTTTCCTGTCTTCTGAAGTGATCTCTGAGCCTTGGGAAGAAAGGGTGTGATGTACTATGTTCCATTTAGGCCTGAGCATTCTACAGTTGCTTATTCTCCACACCATGGCCAAGTGGCTGAAAGACGCATTAATCTACGGGTATAACAGTTAGTCATTAGGTATCAGTTTAATAGTATATCCACTTAGCAGAATAATAGTACTATGTTCTCCCCCAAAAAGCCCATGACCTGTCTAGTCATAGGTTCTTGACATTTGGATGGTGCTACTTATGAGTTTTGTCTTGTGAAGCTGAATTCAGATTCAATCAAACGTGGTGGGGTGCTCTTGTGATGTTCACATGCACTGTGCCAGAGGGCGAGTCTTGCCAGGCAGCCATTATTATAGTTCATAAGGTTCAGAGTCAGTTGGTGATTGCTTCTGTCTTCTGGTAGCATGCATAGCACCTTCTAGCACTATGAACGCTGTCCAGTCGGGATAAACCTTCCCAGTCAGTACCAGCTTCATTTTTCTATGTTCCATGACTTAAGTATGTGGTACTTCAGAAACAGGGTCTTATCCTCAAATTCTGGAGGGTGGCCAGAACATTGATAATAGCATGTCTGGTCTGGCCTTAAGTCCTCATACATGTGGCTGTTGACCCATGTTTATACATCCTAGGCTTGCTCTAGTCCAATTCTTCAAACCTTTCCAGATTCTTTCTACAGATCCAATTCAAAGGCTTCAGAACTACAGCATCGTTTAGTATCACAATCACTACTCTGTTGTGTGGCTGTTTTCTCCAGATTGAAACATTCCCTTCTAGGAAGAAGAGGGAAGCTCAGCAGATTCATGAGACTCACAGGACTTACCAGACTCCCAAGATTCATTCCTGAGTTTATAAAAACAGTAAACAACTGCTAGGAAAGAGGAACCTGCAGGGCTGTTGTTATCTGCAGGTTGTAAAAGTTGTTCCCCAGGCTAGGCTGGGCTTTCCATAGTTCGGTCTCCCAAGTCATCCACGCCACGATAAGAACCCCCTTCCCCCTCCCCCATGCTCCTATAAGTAGCCACGGTAAACTCATCGGTTTTGCCAAGCTGAACTTGGGCAGAATTGTCTCTTTGTTCTATTCTTACCTTTTTAAAGTGTAGAATGACTAGAAGTAGACTCCACAGCAAAAGTCATACCAGAGGTTCCACTTTGGGACACTGATATCCTATTAGTTTTCTATGAGAAAACTACTTGAGATAATACAGAGAACGCTGTGTTGTTGTTCATGCTTGCAGAGGCTTTAGTTCATGACTGGTTGGCCCACTGCTTTGAGGTCAGTGTCAAGACGGTACGTAACACTGGGAACACAAAGTGGAGCCAAGCTGCCTACCTCATGGTGGCTGGGAAGCAAGAGGAAGAGCTGGGGTCTCAATACCCTCAAGGGCACACCCCTAGAGACCTAGCTTTCCTCTGCTAGAGCCTCTAGTCCTAAAGATCCCACTGCCTCCCAAAACCACCGTGGCCAAGCTTCCAACAATGAGCCTTTGAGGGACATTTACTAAACTACAGTCCAGACTCTCACTCACGCTAACAGTAGTAAACACAATAATCACAATAAAATAAAACTTGACAGGGTTCATCCTGCCTTCCAAAGTATGCTGACTGGAATTTACTGTCGATATAATATTAATAAGCGAGGATGTTGCTAACTTTACAACTAAGAGTTGTGAATCAAATGCAAGCTTTTGGGTTACAGCTGAGTTGGGCCACTCGGGCTGAACTTTAACTGCTTTACCCATGTTACATTATACTCTACTGACTGACATCACACCTAGAGTAGGCTAGCCAGACTATATCTAAAGAGTGTCCCTCTAAGATTTGACAATTATAATTGGGGTGAAAGATGACTGCGACATTATAAGACGTGACAGCGTGCTTACATCAACTCAGAAGGGCAATTTTGTTTGTTCGGCTTTTGAGACAGGGTCTCATGCCTACTATTGGCCTACTACTTATAGCAATTCCCCTGCCTCTGCCTCCTGAAAGTAGAGATGACAGGTATGAGACACCGTATCCAGTTCAGAATAGTTTTTCTACAGAACTATCAAGACAGAGACATGGCATTCCATTTTGAGACGAGAATGTGCAACTGCAGTATTATTCTGAAATCAGGGATAAGTAATGTACATAAGTAGCTCTCCTAACCAAAGACTGTGGACAAGGGGACTGAATTCATTACAAGGAATATGTCTGCAGGAGTTGCCTGTTGTATGTTTTCAGTGGAAGATAAGCTGAAAAATTAGTTAACATAAAAGCCATTCCATATTGCCATATGAAGAATAAAGTGGATGCAAGGAGTTGCTAGTTACTAAAATTTTTCACTTTTTCACTTACTAAAAATGTCAGTAAAGAACAGCATCATATCAAGTGTGGTTTGAGTAGGAATGCCTCTCATAGACCCATAGATTGAATGCTTGATCACGGGGAGTGGCACTATTAGGAGGTGTGGTCTTGTTGGAGGAAGCGTGTCACTGGAGATGGGCTTTGAGGCTTCCGAAGCTCAAGCCAGGATCAGTGGCTCACTCTCTCTTCCTGCTGCTGGCCAACTCTTGGCTCCAGCACCATGCCTCCCCGGATGCTGCCAAGCTTCTGCCATGACGATAATGGAACTGTAAGCCAGCACCAATTAAATGTTTTCCTTTATAGAAGTTGCTGGCCATGGTGTCTCTTCATAGCAATATAACATTAACTGACATTACATTATTATTAAACCAAATAATTGGCTTACCTCCTATAAAAGTATGATGTATTTCATATCCATGAATAGAGAACAGAGATTTTTTAAAGCATATATATATATTATCTGGGCAAAATGGAGCATACCCATAGTCCCAGCTACTCAGGAGGTTTAGGGCCAGCCTGGACAATTCAACAAGACCCATTCTAAAAATTCAAAATTATACAAATATATGCTTTTACTAAATTTGGGGAAAAGTTTTAAACAGTCTTCAAATATAGTTGTGTTTTCCAGAACTCCAAAGATGGCCTTCATCACTGGTTGCAAGCTAGTAGGATTTGCCAGGATGCAGATGTTAGGCCTTCACTAGTGTAGGTGGACAATACACTGTTGCTACTCGAGGTTATTACTGCAGTTCTAATGGACTTTAAGCCAATGCTAAAAATTCCTAATCTGTTACAGCCTATCAAACTGTAAATATTTTCATAGTGGCATATGTGTCCTAAGAGCTGCATGACTGCTCACTAAGGCCACAGTGTAACTTCTTGGTTTCACTTAATTGTGTTTCCAATGTGAACTGGGACTATTATATTGGCCCATTTATAAACAACAGGAACGAAAAGCCCTAGAGTCCCAATGATTGAAACCAGAAGAAACGTCCACAGAAACATCCGATCAAGAACTTGGGCAATGAATTTCCAATCTTCAACAACCTGTTAAAAAAATAAATACATATATAAAGCTGTATTTAAAGATTAAAAACAGAGTTAGAGATAATCATTTGCTATCTCCTATACCCAGGTCTCTAAGACAGACTAGTATAACTTATTAAATTTCATTCTAAATTTAAATTTGGAATTTAAATTCATTAAATTCTTACCTTTTAAGATTCCATCAATATCTTAAACTCATAATAATTCAATTATACTGACACAGAATACTACAATCAACAAGTATTAGTTTGTTAGAAGTAAACTGGTCACAGTGGTAAGTGTATGTAGTACCAGCTACTTGGAAGACTGAGGCAGGAGGATCAGAAGTTCAAGGCCAGCACCTTGGAACAATAACAAAGAGTTAGTTCAAAGTCATAACCTGCACATAGAAGTATCTGCTGAAACCCCAGCATTCAGGAGGCTGAAGTGAAAGGATTGGCAGTTTGAGGCTAACCTGAGCTACATAATGAATCTGTCTTTAAAAAAGTGGGTGGTGGGGGCTTTGGCATAGTGGTACATGTCTTTAATCTCACAAGGTGAATTTCTGTAAGTCTAAAGCCAGCTGCATATCAAATTCCAGGCTAGCCAAGACTATAAAGTGACTACCTCAAAAAAAAAAAGGAAGGAAGGAAGGAAGGAAAGAGGAGGAATGGAAGGACGGAGGGGGAAGAGAAGATAGGAGGGGAGAGGGAGGGAAGGAGCAAGATGTCAAATATTAATAAAAAAATTAGCCGGGCGGTGGTGGTGCATGCCTTTAATCCCAGCAGTTGGGAGGCAGAGGCAGGAGGATTTCTGAGTTCGAGGCTAGCCTGGTCTACAGAGTGAGTTCCAGGACAGCCAGGGCTACACAGAGAAACCCTGTCTTGAAAACAAAACAAAACAAAACAAAACAAAACAAAACAAAACAAAACAAAACAAAACAAAACAAAAAACCATGTCTTTCAACTTCAAGATCTGGATCACAGGTGTACCCTCCATTTCTGGATTGTAGTTCATTCTAGATGTAGTCAAAGTTGACAACCAGGAATAGCAATCACAAAGAGAAAGAGAGGTTCCTCCTTCCACCTAGTTCCTGGGAGGGTATGGGGAGTTTTAAGGCTGAGGTGGCATGGCCTAGAAGCTTCTAGAAGAAGTCCTTTAGAAGGAAAAAAAAGTAATTTTGATAAATTATAATGTAAAAATTCAGAAACAAAGTTATGGAAGATAAATCTAAACCAGTAAATTATTCCAGAGCTAGAGAACTATGTCAATATTACTATCTCTTCAAATGCATACTGCTAAACTTTCTTCAGGGGAAATGGAGGGTGAGATTCGTGTAGACGCCCCACTTGGGGTGGGGGATGTTTATACTCGCCACAGACCTCTCGGACATCGTTCTCTTTCATGACGTGCCTGGTGATGTACCGAATGCAATCGAGAGCAGCTTCCAAAGTATTCCGAGAGTTAGGTCCACCGCCATTCTCAGCTGCTTCTCTCTGAGTGAAGTACCTGTCTGCATGGCTTCTCATGCAGAGCAGTTTGGGAAGCTTGTGGAGAAATATCTTACGAACCCAAGGCGCCATAGCGTTGTGTGTGGAGGAAGAGCGGTGGTGGATGTTGATGGCAAAGACAGTCACCATAATGGATAGGGTCACGAAAATCATGGTGAACACCAGGTACTCCCCAATCAGAGGTATGACTTTGGAAGAGGAGGGGATAATCTCCTCAATAACTAGAAGGAAGACAGTCAGAGAGACAAGCACGGAAGTGCACAAGCTAATCTTTTCTCCTTCGTTTGAAGGGAGATAGAAGACAACCACAGTCAGAAAGGAGAGCCCGATGCAGGGTATAATAAGAAACAAGGTATAGAAGAGAGGCAGCCGCTTGATCACAAAGGAGTACGTGATGTAGGGGTACCAGCAGCAGCTGTCCGTCCGGTTCCCCTTGCTCCCCATTGCACTCACGATTTCCCATTCTCCATTGTCAAAAAAGTCTGTTCTGTCGACATCGTGGTCCTCTAGGATTACATCAACCTGGGATCCGTCATACGTCCACGAGCCGAATTTCATGGAACAATTTTGGAGATCAAATGGGAAAAAGGTAACGTCTATAGTACAAGAACTTTTGTAGTTTGCTGGCTGTGTCCACGTGACAGTGCCATTGTACCTGACAACTGTTTTTGTAGTGGCCCCTTCAAAACGTCCATCTGCACTAAAAGAAACACACAATAATAGTGCCAAAATCAAACAACCCAAAGACACAGTTTATAAGCCTAATATAAAAGGAACCTGTGGGTAATAGTGTGAAATGTTTTAAATTACTGTCTGTCCAAATGCCTGCTCCCCCTCCCTGCCCCCACCCCCGCCCCTACCGTGGGGCCTTGCTTCGTGGACATCTTTCTATCATGTAACAATTCTACTGGGACTGAGCCTATTCTTCCCTTTGTATTGTGAGATGAGCCAATCCATGTTTCTCAAAATGTTGAGATTTTAGTAATTGAAACGATGTCACTTTAATTACAAATAGGATCAGGCTGTTTATATACTGGGCATGTAGAAAGGCAGAGCCTGACTCCACATTTCTAGGCTTCCCTTCGCCAAAATAATGATGATTTCTACTCTAAGAGAAAAGAGTATCTGCACCACGCAGGGGACACTGGGCCTTTCCTGTGCCGGACAGGCACAGCTGCAGGCAGAAGCACTTGGACAGGCACAGCTGCAGGCAGAAGCGCCCGGACAGGCACAACTGCAGGCAGAAGCGCCCGGACAGGCACAGCTGCAGGCAGAAGCGCCTGATTCCTCCACAGTCTTGCTCTGTATCTTCAGGTCCTGTGGGTTTTGCACCATACTGTGCAATCTATCCTTAGTTATAAAAATGTCTGCAATACAGACAGCAGCTGCATCATGCTACCTCGCAAGCTTTGTTCATCCTTTCATACTAATATGGAAGCAAAGGTTCCAAAAGATTGGTTTTTGCACAGCATCTGCTCTGTCCGCATGCCAAAGCCTTTGTGCAAATAGGACAAAGTGCTTCAGTTACTGAGAGTAAGGGAATGTGCCAGAAGCTGCCTCATGCTACCTTACGAGCCTTCTTCATCCTTCCATATCAAGGAACACAGAAGTAAAAGGTTTCAAAAGTTCATTTTTTACATAGCGTTTGCTCTAAAAGCCTTTGTGCAAATAAGACAGAGTGCTTTAGGATACATGCAAACGCTCACATTTACTCTGAGATGGCCCTGGGAAGGGTGGTGGGGAGGTGAATACAGCTGGTAACTGACAATTAGCCTCACAAATGAACCCCATACTCCTCGCCATGGGAAAATGGATTGTGCTGTCATGACAATGTATTTACATAATGTTAGAAAACTGGATTGAACGTAAACTGTAACCTCAACTAAAAAACAAATCCACCCAAACCTGATGTCTGACGTGACTAAGGGGTAAATGGAGAGGCCAGTGTCTCGGGGTGAGACCTCACTGTATGGGAGCTTTGTGATCATAGGCAAGGGTAACTATCTCAGGCCAAGTAAGATGGGCGGCGTCTAGCACGTGAGACTGCTGTGAGCACAAGCACATAAGTTTACTGTAAGTTAACCGCAACCTTTCTCTCTCCCCCCACATTTCCTTATTCTATGTTTACCACATCCTTTTTCTTATTTCAGAAATCAGATAACACTTTTAATAATAATAATAATAAAAACCCAACACACCAGAAAAGGCAAAGGCTCCACAGCAGCCATGCAACAAAAACAGAGTCAAGTCATTTGATTTCATAGCTAAATAATTTGCAGACCAGAGGGGAAAAATCACTAGTGCCTAATAGCAATACAAGTTTTCTTTTGGAAATGGGAAATAATATTTAGAATATAACTTACTTATCAAACAAAACGATGTCTGGGATCCACAGAGAGTCTGAAGGAACACGTATAATTTTTATTCCACCATAGTCATCAGGATTCCATCTTAATTTTACATCTATCCATTCCTTTAAAATGAGAAATTCACCTCCATTTCAATCATTAAATAATAAAATAAGTTTAAACTATACTTTTTGTCATATCTAGGAACTTCAGACATGAATCATTTCTGCTCCTAATTCAGTAAACCTTTTCAACTAATAACAGCCTGTCCCTCTTGCAATGACTCTCGCCACGGTCCTGATGAGGCCCAGGTGAGGACTCATGCTGATATATTCAAGCTTCTCCACTTGCTCTCTCTTCTCCCACCAGCTGACCATACTCAAAATGGTCCCAGGTTTCAGGAAAATATTCTCCTTCCCAGCTGTATTGTGTCCTGATTTGGTGGAAAGGGAGTTGGGATTTTTTTACACATCCCATACACTTAACCATTTTGTCCAGTGCCCAGGCAGTAACAATTCTGTGACCCCACCAAGCTAAGAAATGGACTGGAGATATAGCTTGGCAGTAGACCTGCCTGGCATTTTTCAGGCCCTAGGTTCAATCCCCAGCACAGCAAACAAACAAACGAACAGCATCAACCTGTGTTTTGTAAGTTTGGGATTAGGGAACTGGTGGTTGGAATAAATAATCCGAGTCAGAGAAAGAATAAGCAATGGGAGACACTCAACAGCAGCTGGAGACACAAGAATGGTGGCTCGGAATTAAAAAGCCCTTCATGTAAAAGGCACTCTGTCTATAAAAATAATTCATTACAAAGAGGGACACTAGGGAATGTGAAAGGTGCTGGAGGACGAGGGTGATTACAAGATGGATGGACATGGTCAATGCACGGTGTCTGCATGTATGAAAATGTCACAGTGAATCCCAATAACATGCACAGTTAGCATGTTAATGTTGATAATAAAATAAATAGTTGCATTCTTATCCTGTCCTGTTGCACTCAAATTAAAAGCCAAAATCCTGGGGCTAGACAGATGGCTCAGGATGACAAGCACTTGCTGCTTCTGGAGAACAGCAGGGCCAGTTCCCAGCATCCACATGGCAGCTCACAACCCTCTGCAAGGCCAGGTCCAGGGGATGCAATGCCTTCCTCTGGCCTCCTTGGGCATTTCATGTACATGTGTATACATGCAGACTAAATACTCATACATAAATATAAATAAATCTTTTAAAAATAACAACAAATAAAAGTGAGAATCCAAATCCCTGCAGTGTCCTATAAACGAATATTCTAGTGGCTTCTCGTTGCTCCTTTGACCCCATCTCTGCAGCCCTCCCTGTGGCTCACATACCTCTAGCCACACAGATTTCCTTACTAGATGCAATCCCGCCTCTGGGCCTTTTACTAGATGGTCCCTCCACCCAGAACAGTCTGTCTCCTAGGTGCCCACAAGGCTTGCTTCATCTCCCCTGAGACTTGGTGCAAACTTTGCCTCTTCTGTCACGTTGTTATGGCTTGTTGGGTGTTTTCTTTTGGTTGGTTGTTTCTTCTTGTTTTCAAGTACAGTCTCCAACACTCCATCCTCTTCCCCATGTGACCCTCTCTCAGATTGTCGGTCTCTAAGGCACTATGGTTCATTCTCTTCCCACTGGGATGAAGTTCCTGGGGAACAGTGAGTTCTGTCTGCTCCATCACTACAGTTTCTCCAGCACATATCAGACCCACAAAAAATGTCGACTAATGCGGACACAGAGGCGTACACCTGTGATCCCAGAACTTGGGAGGATGAAGATGGGAGACTGAAGCTATAGTAACGAGATCCTGGTTCAAAACTAATATACACATATACATACATACACACATACATATATACATACATACATGCACAGCAAGTACAATAACTCCATCTATCCTCAGCCTACAACCTGACAATCCACAGGGCACACACTCAAGCTCCTCCTTGCTGTAGGCCTGTAATGAACAGTTGCCAGCTGCTCGCACGGTACCTGTGTGAGTGCTATACCCACCTGCTTCAACCAGACGTTTGTCGTCATCAGCTGGTTTTTCTCATCCTATTAAAAATAAAGGAGAAAAGTTGCTTGTCTCTGTTACATAGCAGTAATTCTTTAAGAGTGTGGACATTTGTGGCAGTTGCTGATAGTGACAGGCATCACCGTTAAGTCTGTCTTCTTTTCTGAGTTCTGACCCCCCAAAAATGTAACTACATTTTCTCCTTTCTAGTTCTTCTTTGAATATCAACCAAAAGCCCAAGTATGCTTTCCCTCACATTCTGGCCTTCTCGTTTTTCTGAAGACCCTGCCCTCTTTCTATAGCTGCTCACAGACCTTCACTGCTGACCCTAACTCAAAAGGTGTGGCTTTCTTCTCTATCTCCTGCCTCCTTGCACCTGCTGAGATCTACAACTGCCCAGCCCTGCTTTCTCCCCGCCTTCCCCACTCTCTTTCTTCCCCTCCTTTCTCTCCTCCCTCTCTCTCTTCCTTTCTCCCCCCCTCTCAAACTTTAATAATGTGATCCTTAAGCTTTAAAAAAATATAATTGGTACATTTCAATTGGTTCCTTTCCACATGGAATGAACATTCTGCTAATTCATCTGTTCTCAAGAAAATAAGATTAATCTACTATTGTTCCTCTAAACACTCTGTAGTTCAGGTAAACTACTCTGAAGCATAACGCTAGCAATTCTATATTTAGTTTACATTTCCTCAGATTCAAGAGAGAATCTAAGATATGAGTACAGCATCCACTTAGCTAAGAGAGTGGGAAGGAACATGCTACTGTACTCAGCCTGCCCTTCTTAAAAGATGGAAAAATCCAGACATTTATGTACAAACAGCATCATTATGAGAAGACTAGACAATTTTATACAAATAGAAATACGGGTAAATTATATGAGAATTTGAGAGAAAAAGCAGTCAGCAAAATTGTATCAAAAACACATTCTAGGTGCTGGAGAGTTGGCTCAGTAGTAAGAGCATTGTTGTTCTTGCAAAGGACCTGGATTCAATTCCCAGTCCCACACAGAGGTTCACCAGACACGCATGTGATGTACAGAAATGCATGCAGCCAAAGTGCTCATACACACAAAATAAAGAAACAAAAATTTCAAGTTTGTAAAGCAGGAACAAAGAAAAAAAAAGGCAAGAAATACAACAAAGTGGATTTTTTTTAAAATACAGAGTCTCAGTAGTCCAGGCTGGACTTAAACTCTCTCTGTAGTAGAGGATAACCTGGAACTCCTGATTCTCCCGCTTTTACCTCCCAAGTGCTAGGCTTATAAGTGTGAACCCCCTCCTACCTCAGCTATCAGTTGTTAACATTAGTCACCAATGGACGGTAGAATACGAATCTGCTTATTAGTACATTTTTACACTTTAAAAACTCTCTAAAAATCATGTGTTACTTCTGTAATCATAACATAAAGGCACACTAGTGTTATTTTTAATATAAGTAAATATTTTTTCACTATACTAAAAACAATTGTTGGCATTATCAACAAGAAGAAATTAGTTTTTAGAGTGTAACTTTCTTAGGGTAAACACTGAGAAGCAGGAAATTCACTCGGATGAATGATGACACATAAAACCTCTCTGCAGATACTGTTTCATTTGCATGTATCAGTGCTTTACCTGCATATATGTATGTGTACCATGTGCATGCCTGGTGCCTGTGGAGGCCAGAAGAGGGCACCAGATCCCCTGAAACTGGAGTTATCAGTGGTTGTGAACACTATGTAGGAAGCAACCCTGGGTCCTCTGGAGAGCAGTCCGAGCTCTCAGCCACTGAGCCCTCTCTCTAGTCCCTGGTATGTTTGAAGTATGATTTTTCTTTCTTGAGACAGGGCTTCTCTGTTTAGTCCTAGCCACCCTGGAATTCACTTTGTAGTCCAGGCCGGCCTTGAACTCAAGAGATTCACCTGCCTCTGCCTCCCTAGTGCTGGGAATAAAGGCATGCGTCACCACTGCCCACTGAAGTGTGATCTTGAAACAGGGTTAAGATAATCTCCGGTCCTTAGAATCTATGACTCTATTGTTAGGCCTCAGTCCCACCAGCACAGGCTCACATACATTTAAGGGAACTTCAATGTAAAATGATTTGATATCTTTAAATTTCATTAAGGATAGACCTATTGTTAGCAAATGAGATAAAACAATTTCTAAACCTCACAACATATAAACAGGGTATTACTATGCCTGTGGCATACTAGCAATTGTTTCCTGAAGAGTCCCTTAAGCAAAGGGCTACGTTTGGTCATTTTGGTAACCTCCAGTGGGTGACTCATACCTGGGAAAAAACTGATTGTTCCTAAGTACAAAGTGGAACATGTAATGACAAGTATACTTACCACGTCCACTAACTGAGAGATTGCAAGGCCAAACTTGATTTTTATCTTGTCACTCAGGTGTTCCACAGGACGAACCCACCTTTCATAGTCTTCAAATAAATCCCTAAACAAACTGTCTTCATGTTTTGCAGAAGAGGATAGTTCAGGCAACCCTGCACAACAAGTTTTTAGGAATTAGTATGCTGGCTGCTCTTCCCCAAATACCTATACCTCAAGAAAATCCATGTTATCAATAATCTAATTAAAATTTCAGTTATAATTGTTTTGGTTTGTTTGTTTGAACCAGGGTGGCCCTGAATTCCCTATGTAACTAAGGATAGCCTTGAACTCCTGATCCTCCTGCCTCCACCTGCAAAATACTGAGATTATAGTGTCCACCACCGCATCCGTCCAGCTAACTTTTGAGATTCATTTTTTATTTTAAATTATGTGTGGGTAGGGGGGTGAGGGTGTATGCACTCCATGAATATAGTGACCAAAGTGGTCAGAGGCATCAGATTTTGCCCAGAGCTGAAGTTGCAGACAGTTGTGAGCTTTGTGGTGTAGATGCTGGAATCTAACTCAGGTCTTCTGCAAGAACAGTATGTGCTGTTTTATTTTTTATTTTTTTATTTTTTTGTTTCTTGGGAATAGCTACGTTTACTATTAATGTACTATCAATAGACATAAGACCCAACAGTCGCTTGCCCCAACAAGGAAGTTGAAAAAACATTAACAAAAACAGCATATGCTAGACATGCTAGGGAGTCAGAGATCCTGTGACAGGCCATCTCTGCCTTGATACCCAGAGGAGAGAGTGAGGCTCTTCAAGGCTTCCAAAGCATCGGGGAGTCCAGGGTCATCTTGGGAGGAGCCCTCAGGGTACGGTAGAGTACATTATCCAAACCTTGTGCTGACAGTATGTTAAACTAACTCTTAGGCTGTACTTTGGCCTATTGCTCTTACAAATTGAGATGGAAAAGCATGTTCTCTGACTCCAGCTCAGATGTGTGGGCCTCCTGCTTGAGCTCCGTCTCAGGCCTTCCATACAGGATCCAAACCCTGATGTCTCCTTCTGTCAGTCTGAGTGCATCAGCCAGGCCTCCAGAGTCTCCTCATTAGGGTTGGCGTCTGTCTCGAAGTGCTTTATTAGCTCCAGAAACTGCTCACACGTGAGCCCAGAGCGTCTGTCCTCATAGGGCAGGCTCGGACTCGTCTCATCTCTGTCACTTCCATCACGGCTGCAGCTCACCTGTGTTCCCTTCTTCAGTTTCCAGTATGTGCTCTTAACAGATGAGCCATCTCTCCAGTCCCCTAATATGACTTTTAAAATGAAATACTAATACAAACACTCTGGTTCAGATATAATTCTTACTTAAATAAGATTAGTCACTATAGAAATATTCTGAATTGGGGTAGCAGGGGTGAGGGGAGGACTAGGAGGGAAGGAGGGAGGGAAACTGCAACAGAGATGTAAAGTAAATAATTTAAAAAATAAAAATAAATCAAATAGCCGGGCGGTGGTGGCGCACACCTTTAAACCCAGCACTTGGGAAGCAGAGGCAGGCAGATTTCTGAGTTCGAGGCCAACCTGGTCTACAGAGTGAGTTCCAGGACAGCCAGGGTTACACAGAGAAACCTTGTCTCGAAAAACCAATAATAATAAAATAAATAAATAAATCAAATCATATAAAAAGGTGAGAAAAAGAAATATCCTGAATTTCTTAATAAACATTCAGAGTTAATACTTAACATTAAAGTACCACGGGCTGGTATTTATTTATTTGTTTGTTTGTTTATTTCATTTGTTCCCTGCGGTAGACTACAAGAATTGGAATGTAGCTTTCGGCCCAGTGACTCATGCTGCCAAAACCAAAAGTAAAGGCTTTTCAATTGTTAGGGATATAGAGAGGCATTGATGTCCAAACTCTAAACAATATACTTAACAGATCCTAACTTTGCTTCATAAAAAACAGACAGATTGAACTGAAATCATTGATTAACTAGAAATATAAAGACCTGTGCTTTAGTTGACCTAACTTTATTATATATACAAATATTGAATGAATTATTTAGATGTGTTTTGCTATATATTTGTATAAAACTACTTTGGGTCCTAGGTCTTGAGGAAGCTCGGCAGTCGGGGTCCTAGAAGTTCTACACTGTTATAGAGAGAATCCCAAGGGGACAGGGACAGGACTTTTGGGATTCCCAGGCAAGAGATGCAGAGGGAGAAGATGCCGCCATGAGAGGAGCGTAGGACGGACCAGTGAAGGAATACGAGGATAAGATGGCTAAATGTAGGTGCAAAGGGAAAGCAGCCCCATGGGAGGGCTGCCCAGAAGGAAGCAGGGCAGCAAAGAAAAAAATAGAGATTTAAAAAATGTTAACTCAGGAATACCAGAGGGGAGTGTGTTCGAGTACTTTAGTTGGAAGTGCCCACCACTGAGCAAGTCAGGCATATTAAAATATGAGGTGTGTGTGTGTGTGTGTGTGTGTTTTCACTCGTGAATCCAAAGCTCGTGCGCGGGTGCAGAGCCGGGGCATGGAGCGGATCTTTTAAAGATGTACCGCTCCAGGTTCCTCTGCACAGAGCCGCGCTCCTCAGCTGTACTGCAGCTACGCAATCGCGAGTGTTTATGTTAGAGTCTGTCTTCCTCACTGTGTGTTTTTCTCATCCCTCTGTCTCTACACGTAATGACATAGAGACAAACAGCAGCCATCCAGGATGTTCGATGAGCAAACACGTAACTGAATAAGTGAGCCTGTAATCACTTATTACCATATGCTAAACCTCATTTTTCTCTAATGATTTAGAGAAATCTCTGGTTGTGGAGCAACTGGCAAGAGAGCTACCTTAATTTTCTCTGAAGTTCACTAGACTCACCTTCTTAAAATTATAGGGACCTTGTCTGACTCAGATTTGAACATAAAGAGTAACATGACACACTTGCTAAGAGTTCAAGAGCTAAGGGTGGCATGCGCCTGTAGTCTCAGATACTCCAGAGCAGTGGTTCTCAACCTTCCTAATGCTTCCTAAGACAGCTCTTCATGTGGTGAACCCTAATCATAAGATTATTTCATTGCTACTTCATAATTGTAATTTTGCTGCTGTTATGAATTGTAAATATCTGATGTGCAGAATATTTGATATGTGACCCTGTGAAAAGGTTGTGTGACCCTCAAAGGGGTTATGACCCACAGGTTGAGATCTACTGATCAAGAGGCTAAGATAGAGGATCACTTAAGCCCAAGAGTTTAAGACCATCGAGACCCCTTCTCCGGGGCTGCAGAGGTGGCTCAGCCATTAAGAGCACTAACTACTCTTCTAGAGGTCCTGAGTTCAATTCCCAGCAACCACATGGTGGTTAACAACCATCTGTAATGAGATCTGGTACCCTCTTCTGGTATATCTGAAGAGAGCAACAGTGTACTCATATAAATAAAATAAATATTAAAAAAATCCCTTCTCAAAAACAAAACTTGGAATTTTAAAATATACAGGCTAGATCTCATTCTGGCCCCTAATATTTACTATGTGACTTCATGGCCAGTTATCTAACCTGTCTGCATATGGATTTCTACACCTGCGAAAACAGGTATAGACTAGTACCTACCTTAAAAGGCTATTGTGAAGTCTAGAAGTATGTGTGTAAATGCCTGTACCAGTTTGCTGTTCCACAAACAATTCCTACGGTAACAGAAGGCAAAAGGCCTCTATAGGCAATCATCCAAAACCAATGCAACAGAAGCAAGCAGCTCCTGCAGAGCCTTTCTGAAGCCCAACAATATCCAACAAAGATGCTCTCCAGGCAGTTCAAGGCAACAGAACCCTGCAAAGATACAGAGGGAGAATGTGTGTGGCACAAGGCACTCTCAGTGTGGTACAATGACAAAGCTTTCTCCAAGTCGCCTGTGGGGGGGGGGATTTGTTTTAGGGAGGGCTGTTGTGGGGGGTTATTTGAGGGAAGGGGTTGTTTTGGGGGGGTTCTTTTTTTTTTTTACCTTTGAGTCAGTGTCTTACTCCATAACCTAGGTTAGCATACAGTCCTTTCTGTTGCTGACTCTATTTCCTGGGTGCTAGAGTCATAGGTGTGGGCTAGCACACCTGCTGTCAAGCCTAGTCATTAAAACTAATAAGTATATTAGCAGTGTACTAATTGCCATAATCACAAATCCCATAAAAAACAGGGAACCAAGTAGTTAAGCAGACCCGGAAAAGCACATAAACACTCCATCACATAGTTCCCCTCAAGTCTTTGAAAGTACAACACAAGAAACACTAAGCTGAACAGCCAACACGTGGAAATATATGTCATTAACATCTCAAAAGATTCACAGTTTGGTTTCACACATTCAGTTTTAATTCTGAATATCAACTGTCTCGAGTTGAAGAATTGGAATATGACATTTAAAATTTTTCATAAAACCAGGATGATGGCACTGGTACAGATTTGTAGCATTCAGGTAGCTAAGCTTCCAGCCTAGCACAGGCGGCACATCGGGTTCAAGGTCAGCCTGAGCTGTCTAAAGACAAAAGCTCAAAGTCAAGTAATTTAGTACAACTACATTTATTTTCAAAGAAACACTCTTGCTCCTTAATTTTACTACGGTGAAAAAGAAAGAATAGAACTGCAGAGCTGAAAACCCTTGCTGACGCTTGGCATTCCTCCAAGCCTTTGACCTCTACATGCTACAATTTTAATCTAGACTTTTAAAAGGGTTATCTCATTGGCAGAATATAATTGTTAATAGTATATGGCAGAACTCTCAATACATTATACTAGACGTTCCCTCCCCCTTACGCACCCACTCCCCGGGTTCAGAGATTTGAACCTAAGGCTTTCTACCTGCTAGGCAAGTATCTACCACCAAGCCACACCCTCAGCCCTCTACTTGCTTTCTGAGACAGGTTCTCAATAAGTTTCTTTGGCTGAGCCTTAACTCACTCTGTAGCCCAGGCAGGACCAGAAACTATGACTTCCTGCCTAGTTTCTCATTTGGCTACAGGTCTGGGCTACTAGGACTGATTACACTGGACCAATTTTATGTTTTAATTTTTTATTATAAAACATTAATAAGGGCAAGAGAGATGGCTCAGAGGTTAAGAGCACCGGTTGCTCTTCTAGAGGCCTCGAGTTCAATTCCTAGCAACCACATGGTGAGTCATAACCACCTATAATCAG